GGGGGGGGTGTTAGAGGGGTCTGAAAAGTCTCTAGATATAACGATGCTAAGTTAGCAACACTGCTCCGCTCGGCTTACTCCCAGGTCACGTGACCAGTCAAATCACAGCCTCTCTGTTAGAAAACCTTGTTTTAATAAATCGCGAGTTTATCACAAATGTGATTAATCGTTCAGCCCTAGTCCAAAGACACGCCCACTCTGTGTTCCTGGAAACAAACTGTTAGATGTCCTTCATAAAGTAAAGAAGTGATTTTAGAATAATTACAGCTAATTCTCTTGTAAGTGGTGTATCAAGCTTTCCTTGTGGGTCTGAATGGTTTCGCTCGTTCTCTGTCAGGCTTCAGTAGACTTTCTGCACTGAGCTTCCTGCTCCAGACAGAACCAATCTGCACACCTCCTTACCCTCGTCTGCAGGTCTTTCTGCAGACAGGTTCAGATTTAAGACTGTGAAACTCAAATCTGACGCAACAGGACAGAAAAATGTCTAGTCTCAAGCTACGTATGAACACAGGAGGATTAAAGGTGGCTCTGCAGATTGTGTCTGCGTGTTGCTCTGCTACGGTATTTGAACATTTGTCATTGACTCTGTTTATGTTTGCATGAAATGTTTGTCCTGTTGCAGCTCTGCTGAGTCAGAGGAACTTGCAGTTCACCTGTATCCTGGAGCAGTGACGGTGCAGGGGGTGCTGAGACGGAAGACCGTGCTGAAGGAGGGCAAGAAACCAACGGTGAGGTCCCACATGAGCACCAACACATGCCTATAAAACCATGAACCTGCATGTTTTCGTGTGCTTTTTATACACGGGCAGTAAAAACTGTGCGGTGGAAAGATTGGACCTCAAGTCTGAAACCTACAGAACACCTCTGTTCCTGTCAGTTCCTGAGGCTTTACTTTTCCCTCTAATGGCTTTTTAATATTAAAACAATTTTAAAGTGCTTCAGGTTCTATAAAACAATCACAGGTTGTGTGGATAATTTACAAGTTTTTTAAGTTGTATCAAGAAGTAAATGGTTCCATCCTTGTCTGTCTTCAGCAGTATCAGATTGTGTAAGTAAGTAAGTAAGTAAAGTTTTATTTATATAGCGCCTTTCATAGAAATAGATTCACAAGGTGCTGTACAAACAGAGGCAAATCAAATTATACTTATACAATCAGAACAGGATATACAAAAATTTGGAACAAAAAGTTTAAAAGCTGTACAACCATCAAAGTATCAAGACTGTGCAATCCAAAAATAAAACAAGTAAATAATATCTAGACAAAAATGGGGAGGGCAGAGGAAAACATTAACATATTGAGATGAAGGATTTTTAAATCAGAAATTAATTTGGAGGCGGGTCTCTGAATGGGTCGATTGTGCATTACTGGTACATTTTAGAAAAATACCTTTTTGATAAATTGAACTGATTTTGGATGAAAGTACTGTCTGTTTGACATATATTAATATGATGAATTGTACGGTCGGTAGGTAGGGTTTGGTGAAACACACTAAAAGGTCAGGCTGCAGAAAAATGCTGAATTAGTTAGTTAAAAGCTTGTTTAAAGAGGTGTGTTTTCAGATATATCTTGAATGAATCAATGCGTTCAAGTGTGCGCAGATGGATAGGAAGTTCATTCCAGAGCCTGGGGGCCTTGGAGGAGAAGGCTCGGTCACCACGGGTCTTGAGACGTGTGAGGGGAACCATAAGGAGATGTTGATCCTGTGAGCGTAGACTGCGTTTGGGCTTGTAAGGGGAGGTGAGACTTTTAATGTAGTCAGGTGACTGGWCATGAAGAGCTCTGAAAGTGAGGACCAGGATTTTGAACTTGATTGGTAAATGAACAGGGAGCCAGTGAAGCTCTGAAAGGRTCGGGGAGATGTGTGAGAATTTTGAAGTTTGGGTTAGGAGTCTTGCTGCAGAGTTTTGTACGAGCTGAAGGTGATTTATCTGTTTCTGGTTCAGACAGGTRAACAGGYGATTACAATAATCTATGCGGGCCGAGATGAACGCATGAATTACTAATTCCAGGTCAGAAATGGACAACAGGGGCCGCAACTTCGAAATATTGCGAAGTTGGAAGTAGCAGGTGGAGACCAGATTATTTACGTTTGTCAAGAGACGGTCCTGAGTCAAAGTAAACACCTAGGTTGCGCACATGTTTTCAGGCGGTTGAACTTAAAGAGCTGAGATGGTCTTTTATCTTCTGGTGTTTGTTGTCGGGGGCCAGGATCAAGGTCTCTGTTTTATTGAGGTTAAGGAGTAACAAGTTGTCTGACAGCCATTCAGTTATTTTAGATACACAGTTTAAGAGGAAGGTTAGCTTGTAGAAAGTCAAGTCATTAAAAGAGCAGTATAACTACAGGTCGTCAGCGTAGAAATGGTAAGAGATGTCAGGGAAATCTTTGAKGATCTGAGCCAGGGGACGGATGTATAGAAGGAAAAGAATTGGGCCCAAAATGGAACCCTGTGGTACTCCGCAGGTGAGTGGTGCTGAGTCAGAGATAGACTGACCTAGTTTGACTGAAAAAGAGCGATCTGTGAGGTATGAGTTGAACCAGTCTAGGACAGTTCCTGATATCCCAAAATTTCTCAGGTTATGAAGTAAGTTGGTGTGATCCACWGTGTCAAATGCTGAGGATAGGTCCAATAAAAGCAGAACAGAKTACATTCCTCTGTCAGCAGACATTTGCAGATCATTTCTTACATGAAGAAGAACAGTTTCTGTAGAGTGTAATCTACGGAAGCCAGACTGGAAAAGATCATGCAGTTTATAAACATCCAGGTAGTCAGTGAGCTGTGTTGAGACTATTTTCTCTAAGACCTTTGACAGAAATGGTAGCTTTGAGATCGGTCGGTAGTTGTTCAGGTCAGACGGGTTTAAAGAGTGCTTTTTTAAAATAGGTTCCACAACCGCTTTTTAAAGTGATCCCTGTACACATCCAGATGTAAGTGAGAGATTTATCAATTACGTTGATACGTAATTGTTTTCAGATAAGTTAAGTTTTCAGATTACGTTGTYTACGTTTCACTAAAGAAGAACCCATCCAGAGGACCTACAAAGATTGTGGGTTCATTCCATGGTGTAGTGTCGGAACAGTYGGTGTAGATCTGGGTCGGACCGGTTGGTTTTCCACTGATGTTCCAGTCCGGTTCCAATGGGTGTGTTTTGGGCAGTTGGTGGAGGTGGTTTTTAGGTTTTTTGGAAAAAAAAAAGTTAATGGGCAAAATGAGAGATGGAAACACATTTGATGAATAACTTTTGAAATTTTAATCATTTGCAAAATGGAAACATGACTAATGTCWCTGCTACAATTGAAAAAATGGCTCCTTGAGTTGTTCTTGTAAAGGCAGCGTAGACACAACCAGTGACTCCACCCCCTAGCCAGTCAGTGACGAACAGTGTTCTGACATCGCATTTTGGTGCCAGCTGGGGCTACTTGGAACCACAATGAAGTAGGTACTAAAAAAAGGTCCGGTTCCATGAATCYAGCCTATGGAAATGGCTTGGAACCGTACCGACACTACACTAAGTKGCACTTGTTCAGCACTTTCCCTCCCTCTTGTTGCTGTCTGATGTTTGCATTATTTTTCAAGGTTTCTTCAGTCTCCTTTTAGTAGAAGCAGGAAAACCTGGATACCCTGTGTTGTTGCTGACATGTCTCCAGCCTAAGACTTTCACTGTGTGCCTCCAGGTGGCAGCTTGGACCAAATACTGGGTCTCTCTCTGTGGAACTCAGCTTCACTACTACCCTGCCAAGTCCCTGAAGGCCACAGAGAGGAAACATGTAAGTCACACAGAAACACCCGGTCACACAATGCACTTTTTTAGATGAGCACAGCAGAGAAAGCTGGTACTGGATAGAGTTGGGCGATAGTGGCAAAAAAATTAATCACGATTAATTGTGGTATTTAGCCGATAACGATTAATTTGACGATTAATCTCCTTGAGTCTCTGGACACCCTCATGTCCTGGTCACATGACCAGTTTAGTGGGAAAGATTTGCTCTTTGTAAAAATCTGTTCCAAATTGTGTCAAAATTACAGACTTCAGGCTATACATCAAATTTTAAATTGTTTTTGATCTATAAATACTGTATTTATTCATGTATAATACTAGAAATTTAACCTTAAAAATCATCCATAAAGTGGGGGGATAGTATTATACACGGGTTATTGATAATTAGATTTTTATGCTTTTTAAGATCAAAAAATGATGATCGTATTATACTCGAGATAGTATTATACATGAAAAAATATGGTAAATTACAGAATTTTTTTATGTTCATGTTTGAAGCAGAGAGGAGCACTGAGCAGACCAAATGGAAAAATATCCAGTCAGTCTGCCTGGTGGCATTAATCCTATTAATCGTCAAGTGCCAAAATCTATTAATGTTTTTCTGATGATTAATTGCACATGATACGATTATGCCCAACCGTAGTACTGGTTGTACAGTGGTTTGCAAAAGTATTCATACCCCTTGAACTTTTCCATATTTTGTCACATTACAACCACAAACATAAATATATTTCACTGGAATTTAATG